TTGCATTCCTGTTCTGATCTGATCTGACATTTTCCATTGGAAGACCCAGCTTGAAGAACTGTAATGGCTGACCTCATATTTTGCTCATTATATATATAATTTTTTTTTTAAACAGTGTGCTATAATTCATATTATTTAATTTCAGCACATGAACAAGACCCAAAGCAGCCYGTTAAATTCAGAGAGGTCTATACAACCACTCTAAAAATAACAGGGTGTAATTGGAGTCACTGCTGTGGCAGATGGGTCTGAGGGACCTGTGTGGTTGTGGTTCACAGCTCTGAAAATGCAGTTGGGTTCACAGCCCCTCTTAATGACACCAATGAAATGTATTGATACAAAAATGGGATGTCTTTAAGTGTGGTAGGTGAGTGTTCCCTTCTCACCTCCTCACCATCATTTTTTGTTCATTTTGATGTCTTTGCCAGTTAATTTTTTTTTTTTTCTGCACAGAACTTTCCGCATAGAAATTTAAACTTCAAGTGTCATTACTTCACTGAAACTAATTTGTCCTTATTATTCCTCATTACCTTTTATCTTGTAATTGCTCTTTAGAGCTTCATACAATCTGCATATTACATTGCTCTATGTGTGCTTTACTAGTMCTGATTTTTTTTTTTTTTTTATAAGCAACATGGTCAATATATACAAATGGTAAGCACCAACCTGATTTGCTATCTGCTGTAATTGGATTCTGCCTTTAATTACAGGTGGTAATGACATTTTAAGCACCTTATACAGGTGTTGAGGGGGGTGTGGGTTATGAAATGTTAAGCAACATTAAGAAATTCTAAGCTTCTGGAGCGCTGCCAAATTTCAGAGGTGCCTTTCAACTCCAAATAGCGATTTTCATGTGAGGATAATTATAGCTCTGGCCACCTGGACTGCTCCTGCTGGAGTCAGGCAGAGCAGAGCAAGCCTGTCTGCAAGCCACACTTTACATCTTCTCTCTTTATACKTGTTTTCATTTAAAATTACTCCAAATATATCATGGCCTGTATTCCAATGCCTAAAAATACTGCAGGGCCATCTTTTTTTTGTGTGTGTTTGCTGGCCAAAACCAGGGGCAGAATATATCTTTATGTATTGGCAGCATAGCTTAGGTTGGGTGACCTTGGAAAAGATATTTGAATTATGTTGATGGCCTCCTTGATCTTGGGGGAGTTTTAATTCACATCTATAATTCCAGCCTGAGAAAATTAGACGGAGATTTGTTTTGGAACTGATGGGGAAATATAAAGCCAGCAAAAGKAGTTGTCTTTTCCTTCATTACTCACATAGCTTCCCCTGGAAAGTATCTTTTCCCTAGCAATGGCACTCAAATCTCAAAGGTTTTCCAAAATCAATGTATATTCTTCTGTTTCTTCAGTCCTGACTTTTTGAAAAGAAAGTGGAGGAGGCAGCGCTTTTATACGCCCTGCAGAAACCAAATTAAATTCTTAATTTCTCTTCCTTTCTTTCCCTTCCTACAGAACTTCTGCTTATTATTCCCAAAGCCCAGGGGCTTATCCTGCCTGTGCTTGCACGGTGATGGTTTCCTGTGGCTGGGCCAGGGTTCCTGAGCTCCCAGTGACAAGGAGCAGGCAACTTTATTTCTGAGATTAATCTCAATTCTTCATCTCTAATGACCTTTTCTGGTGTGAAATCCTGGCTTTAGTGACGTCAGCAGGACTTTGGTTCTGAGCTCTTCCAGTCCTTTGAACTGACATTTTAGAGGTTCCTTGTTGCTGTGTGGTGCTGCTGTGCTTTTCCCTGTGCTTTTCCCTTGGGATATGTGTGGAAACAGCCCTGGGGGTGTGTAGCTGAAGAAAAGGAGGCTCAGGGGGGGACCTTATTGCCCTCTGCACTCCCTGGAAGGAGTTGTATCCAGCTGGGGATTGGTTTCTTCTCTCAAGTAAAAGGCAATAAGACAAGAGGAAACGGCATCTGGTTGTGCCAAGAGATGTTTAAATTGGATATTAAGGAAAAAWTTATTGACTGAAAGKGTTGTCAGGCWTTGGAACAGGCAGGACAGGGAAGTGATGGAGTCACCATCCCTGCAAGTKYTCCRAAAACYRCCCAGATGTGACACTTGGGGACRTGGTTTAGTGGTGAGGATGAAAAGTGCTTGGACTCCACGATCTCCCAGRTCTTTTCCAATCWMAATGATCCTATGCTGTCTGTGTAGGACATTTCTGCCTATGGAAAGTGAAAACAAGCAGATATCTCTGGATATATTGTGGATGAAATTCAAAAATCAAGAACAGCTAAAGCTGAAGCTCGCACAAAGGCTTATCTTGATTGATTGTACCAAATTATCTAGATGACCTTTRCTAAGTATTATAATGTCAGGGTGACTGGCATGCCAGAACTAAAGTTTTATTTCTCCTTCTTGGGGATCTGACCTCTGGCTGTGTGTATAGATCTGCTTTACATTGCACTCACAAGATCAGGTAATTTTATATACATAAAGAAAAAATATTCTAAATCACTAATAAATGAATTTGTGAATAGTCTGTAATAATGGAGTTCATCCCATTGATTCACTCTAGACTGTGGCAGTACTTTTCCCTCCCCACAGTTACTGCTAGACCAAGCTTACCGTGTGGGGTTTTCTCTTGACTTCTCTGCATTTACACCAAAGACAAGGGAGAATATAAAAAAAAAAAAATAAGCATGCCTGTTGTTACCTTGGTTTTAATTTTTCTGGTTTTTAATTTTTTTTTGTTAATTTCACTCAAAGTCAGCTTGAGCTTCAGATGCTTCTCTGTCTCTGTGTCACTATTACAAGGATGGACCAGGTCTTGCTGTCTGAGCTCTCACCTTCCCAGCATGTGCTGGTGTTTCACCAGTCCAGTTTTTGTGTCAGAAATAATGCTAAAGCTGTCAATGGTAATTTTTTCATGACACTGACACTCACCCCCAGAAAACAGAGCAGTATAAAGGGTATAAAATATAAATTAAGGGAAATTTCTAGTTCCCTAATTGCAGCAGTGAGTCTCTTCTGCAGGTCCAACACCAAGCTCCCTTTCCCTAGGGAAACTGAGCAAAAACTCAGCCCCTCTGAGCAGCTCTCACCCAGCAGAGACCCTGAGGTAGCCCAGATGAAAGAAAGCAGGTTTTCATTTCACTGGCACTGAAAAGAGTAGGAAACTTGAGACATTAATGGCTGGAAAACTGGAAAGATTAATTCGATGYACCCTGAGCTCTAATAAACCAGACTGCCCAGACAGAAGTGATTTGAAGCAAAGASCAGCTACCCCATATTCCTCASTGGAGAAGAGTGAATGATGGGATCATGGAGTGGCAGGCTGGAAAGGACCCCAAGACTCATCTGGTCCAGCCTCTGTTGGAAAAAGCGTTGTCTGGATGAGATGGGGCAGCACCCTGTCCAACTGAACCCCAAAAGTGACAAAGCAAAGGCAGCAAGAGACAGACCAAGCAGTCAGGGCAGAGGAAGGCAGTGATTTAGGGGGTGTTTGCTGCAGCTGATGTGTGTTTATCTTCCAGTTCTCACCTCCCTGGGCAATCTCAGGCTGTGCTCTGTGCTCTGTCCTTGTTTGTGTTTGATGTCACAGCRAGAAGACAAGGTGCCATTAGCTTTTGCTTGAGAGGTTATATTGAAGCTATTTTCTGCTAATTTGTGAGATTTCAGCCATAGCAAAGTAAAATTTTAAAATCTGACCTAAGCAAGCCCCCTAACCCCTCCAYATCACAGTGAAATTAAGTTAAACACTGAATTGTGTGCTGGACAATTGCTTCAATATTACTCAAGTCACGTTTCAGTCCCTGGTGTCAGTTATTCTCTGTCTGCAAGAGAATTAATTCCTTCATATTTAGGAAGCTATTCTGCAAATTTTAGCCTGCCATTAACAAAAACACAAATGTCAGGATATGTTTTAACTGCTTTAAACCCGTGCAATGAAGGTGTGTTTATTGTGAAGAACGTGGGTAACCCCATCCCTGACAGTAATAGGATATCCCTGATGGTACTGGGGTGTCAGATGTGCCATTGGGCTCCCAGGATCACTGGAGATTTGGATATCTCAGCCAAGCCATGGTGATTCACCATTAATGTGAGCTTTGCCTGTCCTAAACACAGACCAATGTCCCACGTGTTGCAGAAAAAGGTTTTACCCCACATTTAGGATGGGCTGAGAGAGMACACCTTGTCATTTCAGTTTAGCTGAAACACTGTGGCTCCTTAAGCCGCAGGAACTCAGGCTGAACCTGAATTAAACTCTGTGTCACTTCAAGCATGAGCTTCTGTGGATTGCTGAGGCAGAGTTCACATTCTGAAATCACTGCTAACATTTCTGCCTGTGCTCAGTTTAAAGCACTCTCAGCACTCACACAGGACATGGATTTATCCTTTGAGAGGCTGAGTTGTAAAGAAGAAACAAGCCCAGTGGGACAGTYTTCTGTGTAAATGTAATTCGTGAATATTTGCAGAATCAGGTCTGCAGGTATGTCCTGTAGCTRTTTGATGGCTTTGGCAGGGTTACTTGTTCACTTTGTCACTTTTAATTTTGTTTTGTTGCTAGTACAGTATTTGAAATTAATGTTCAAACTTTGTTCATTTTGTCACTTTTAATTTTGTTTTGTTACTAGCACAGTATTTGAAATTTTTGTCTAGGAGGAAAAAAAAAAAAAAAAAAAAAAAAAAAGTATTTCAAAACTTTAAAAAAAAAAATTAACCACAAGGTGAGCAAGACGCTTTTTTTTTTTTTTTTTTTTTTTGTAAGAAGCCTGCTTGTCAGCATGCCAGTGATAGATCAGATGTAAAGAAAATCACTTCTGCAAAACCAATTTGCTAAGGGGCTTGTAAAATCCATTTTTAAAAAGTTACTGAGGCAAAAAAGCGAAGGACCAGCCAACCAGATATTTTGATCGGCTCTTCAAGGTCAAACCCTGATTACTAATTCATCAAATACCTTACAGGTAGCACTGCTTGAGGAGCAAACAACTCGGTGCAGATGTTCTGCCCAATMATTCCAGCATGGAAAGGGTGTTTTACTCACTTTTGGCAGCACTGCAGTTGTGGGAGCTGTGGCTTTCAGAGCACTGACAGCCCAGCTTGGTACAGCGCCCGCGGGCATTACAGAGCTCAGGGCACCACAGAGCCATCAGGATTTCCTCCCAAGCACCAGACGGCTGTTTTCCAACAGGGAATGCTCCGTTTTGGTTCCCCARCACTCTCCTTTCACACTCATTTTCCAAAAGGGCGATCAGTGCGCTCGCCCAAGCCGCGTCATCTTTGAGCTGCAGGTCCAAAAGGCAAATTTCGATTGCCTCGTCCAGGTGTTTTCCCAGGAGGCCTTTACACACCGAGCCAATGGTGGAATTTGCAAGAGTTTGGTGGCAAATCTYCCGAGCCTTGGTGGCAGTCAGGCCACTGGGAGTGGGCCATGACAGCGGGAATTTTGTCTGAACCCCTTCAAAGTAGTCCTCAGGAAAAAAATAAGCAAAGCTCTCTGAGTCTCTCTGGGTGGGGCCATGCAGTGGGTGAAAGGATGAATATTCATAGTGCTTGTCTTGCCTTTTTGCTCTCCTTTGGTCTCCTGTTGGTTTGGTAGAGTCACCAGGACTGATGCTATTCATGGAAACATTGTGTGTGAGCTGGACCTCAGACCTGCCTCGCTTTTGAACTGCTTTGGACAAAAATCTCTGACCAAAAGGCTTCTTTGGTGATTTCTCATCTTTTCTTGAGGTCAGCTCTGTTTCCCAGTGAGTGACAAACTCGGATGTGACATCCAGATATGGGATTGCAGAGCTGTGATCCACGTGGCTGTGATGGCAACCAGAGGACTCAGGGGAAGGAKTCTGAAAGGCATTTTTTGTGTTTAGCACAGGCTCAGGCTTGGGGCTCCCCTTCTGGCACCTGCAGAATCTTTTCCTTTGCTTCCTCTCAGAAGGTGCTGGAGTCTTGTCAAATAAACTCTTCCCTGGAGGTATTCTGATTTAAAAATAGGAAGAGATTAGGAGGGAGAAAACTTTCAACAAATTTGTCTGTTGTAAAAGTAAAGTTTCTTTCCCTGAGGCTGGGGTAAGCATAAATTCCCAATCTACAAAAATATTTAGGAAAATGCTTAAATTTAATCTCTGCTTTCTTTAGTCACTTTTGCAGTGYCCTTCTTGTGTTGTCCCATGTTTTCTAGCTCTGCATGGGGACTTTCTAGTACGACTTTTTAGTGCTTTGCTGGAGCAGTGCCTAAGGACTCGATTTCTCTTTGCACAAGTTTTTCTGAGGTGCAGGTTACCCTTTGTGTACTACACATGAAGTAAGGCCTTGRATTTGTCCCTGGGTGACCCAGATTACTCTCAGAGAATGACAAAAAAGTCATATTTGTTTCAAGTCCTGTATTATGAAAATGATCTTTTTCTGTGTGC